GCTAAATTGGATTGTTTGACTAATCATCTAGACATAATTAACTTGTTATATGTTGCTAGTTAATTAGATTGATAATTCTGCATTTACACCTAATCACCCTCCCTCTATGTGTAGTTGGGTCGAATCTCGCATTTCTCAATTTGTATCAGAGTCTTATTTCGATTCCTGACCCATATTTTGATTGTCTAGATGAGTAGTTCGTTGTCTGTGCCTCTATATTTTGATGGCAGTAATTATGCATATTAGGTTAGAATGAGAGCCTTTTTGAAATCTGTGGATGAGCATATATGGCTGAGTGTGGTGAATGGTTGGAGTGCCCCTACTACTACTGTAGAAAGCGTTGTTACCCCCACTCCGATTGCTAGTTGGACTAGGACTAACTTAGATGGGTATAATTGGATTAGCAAATCCTTACGTGCCTTATTTATGGCAGTGTCCCCTGAAGAGTTTAGGATAGTGTCTATGTGTGAGGTAGCCAAAGAAGTTTGGGATATTTTACAACCCACACATAAGGGAACTTAGGTTGTTAAGAACTCTAAGTTACAAATGTTAACAAATAGGTTTGAGGAGATTGGAATGAGAGAAGATGGGATGTTTGATGCCTTCTATGCGGGCTTAAATAACATAGTGAATTCTGGTTTCAACCTAGGTAAGAGAATCTCAGAGTTTAAAATTGTTAGAAAAATTCTTAGATCCTTATCTGAAAGGTTAAGGGCTAAAATCACTGCTATTGAGGAGAGTAAGGATATAGACTCCATTAAGGTAGAGGGATTAGTTGGATCCCTCCAGACGTATGAGTTAACCTTAGATAAATCTGCTACAGATAAATATCTTGCCTTGAAATCCGTGAGAAACACCCGAATGGAATCCTTTGATTCTAATTCACAGGACGATGAGGAGTTAGCTTACTTGGCTAATAAATTTCAAAAAATGTTTAGGAAGAAAAAGAACCCTCAAGAGAGATACAAAGGTGGCCCGAGTGAATCTAGGAGAAAATCTAAATACGTGAGGTGCCATAATTGTCGAGGGTTTGGTCATATTAAGAGTGAGTGGCCTAGCAGAAGGAGAAATCAAGATAATGCTATGAATGCTACTGTTACAGATAATAAGTCTAGCTCAGATAATCAGAATGAGAAATCCACTCGTGAGGAAAGTGGGAAACATGTTACCTTTACTGCTAGAATTAGGAATGAATCTGACCAAGAAAGTGCAAAAGAGGACCTAGTTAGTGATGAGGATTCTGATGAGAAGTCTGAGAGTGAGGAAGATATCCGTGAGGCTTATGATAAGATGTATGAGGAGAGTCTTAGGATTCTCACTAAGAACAAAGCCTTGAGCGCGAGAAATAAGGAAC